AAGGTTAAGGTTCTCAACAATAATTTGTTAAATAAAAGTTTCACTGTACTTGAGTGTTAAAGTTTTTATTTATTTATTTGGAGTAAAATGTAATATCAGAAAAACAGGTAGGTAATTAATTTAAGTATTAAGTATAAAATAATAGTTTTATTTAAGCCATATTAATTTTTTTTTTTTTTTTGATTAATTTATTATTTCTAAATCATTCTTCATTCTACTTTTCTTCCCTCCTTCAGGGTCCTTGGCCCCTGAAAACCAACGGCTTAAAATGCTCGAAATCTCTTTTCCCTTTACATCTTCATGTTAAGTAGTAAGTGCTTCTGAAATTTAAAATTGAGTAACTAAAAAAAAGATTGACTAACAATAATTATTACAAATATTATAAACAATATAAACAGGGTTCATAATTTAATGCATAATATGTAAATTATGTTTTTTTTTCATTTTTTTTACTACATATTTGAGTATCTTTGAGAGCACACATGCCATGTATATTTAAACAATTTTGGGACATGAAATAATGAGCTCTAATTATAAACAATGTTATAAAGTATACCTAGTAAGTATTTATAAGTTATGGTAGAAAAAGAATTTAGTTTTTTTTGGCCATTAGTTTCCCTTCTAAACGCACTGTACATTAGTTGAACCTCTTTACTAATTATTTTAGGAATAACTACTGTTAAGTTCTCACTTATTGAAGTGGTTTTCATATTGAGAACGATAAAACATTTCTGAAAATTAACAATACAAATTAAAAATGAATTAGTTACAATATTTGCAAATTTTAAGTATTTACCAATTTTTTGACAAGTTCAATGTCAGACTCTAATTGTCTCTCAAAATCTTTAAAACTTTCTAAAGTCGTTTTGGGCAAATCCATAATTGTATTGTCATTAAATATTTTTTCAATATCTGTAGTTTTATTTTGTACTTCAAATAATGCTCGAGTTATTTTTGATTCTTCCTTAATACGATATTCGATACTTCTTTTGAGTGATTCTAAATCGGATTTAGTAGCTGTTACACCATTATCTGAAATAAATAGTACAATGCTTAATTTAAGTGTCCACTAATAGATACTATATGTGTCTACATTTTAATGTAGTATTTATTTATACCTGAGCGCACATGTTGGGCAATGCTTCTTATTTGTTGCATATGTATCTACAAGAGGAAATATTTATATTATTATAAATTATACAATTACTGACGGTTTGACTGTACTACACGGGCCTTACTAAGGCGTACGCCGATCGCCTAGTTCTCCGGACCGTAGTGAAAGGGATAATTAAATGATGAACAATATGCTAKATAAATATATGGAACATGGACATAAATATATTAACACAGAATAGTATTATACTATACAAAATTATAACAACTCTATGCACATATAAATATGCAAATGAACAGAGTACAATTATATACGGGAGAAGGGGATCACCGCTCTGGACACCGTAACTGGACGTGGGTCGAAGGTTGATCTGCTGGGCTGAGCTGCTAGGGGCCGGAGCTTGGAACACGTGGATTTCACGTTCTGCGGTGGAGTTAAATTATATAACTTAACAATAAATGGTGATATGCAAAGGTATATGCCGCGAAATATATCGATTGACGATCGCAGTGAGCGTGAGCAATAATATTGCAATCACTAAACCAACGCGAATAATCGTGAGGCACAATGAGCATAAAAGAGCAAGGTGACAAGATGGCGATCACCACGAGCTAGAGCGTACTATATTGTGTGTCACGAAAAACAACAGAGCACCGTATATCGAGCAAGACGGACGATAAAAAAAACGAGAGACGGATCGTCGAAAAAACACGTTAACGGCGACGTGAGCGTCGTTGCCCGGAGCCGGGCGGCTGGCCAGTCAGTGTTGCCACCTTTGCAAATGACCGATCGTGGTCAACGAACAAATGTTCAAAAACCGGTGACCATTTGTAAGTGCAAAAAGGTCGAACATACTCCCCATTGCAAGATACCGCTCTCTTGCAACAGAACAGTTCGAATAAATCTTGCTGAAGGAGATGTAGCGGTCGAGCGGACGAACGGATCAGACGGTCAGTGAGACTAAGTAGCCGAATGGATCCTTTGTCCAGGATAGTTAGACAGATGAGCAGCTGTTGAGCGGAGCGGAGAAGTTGACCAGATGAACCAGACTATTGAGTCAATGAGCTAAACTTTCGAACAGTTACATGAAACTGTTCAACGTAGTACTTGAGCAGACGAGCAAATCGATGTTGAACGGAGCAGTTGAGCTTAGGAGCGGTTAGATAAGTCACTATGTTGAACGGTTAGACAGAGCGATGACCGGGGTTTTACAACGGGGCAACATTGGTCGATGACCATTACAATAGTCAATGGAGTAATTAACAACAATATAACATTTATAAAACATTAACAGATAAATAAGTTTGAGCATGAGCGTGATAGAAACTAACGTCCATAACATTATTTTTTTTTTTATGGTAATACATAAATATTATTTCCTGAAAGCATTTATATTTAAGGAACAAGGTAAAATTATCAAAAGTTTACAAACAGTCTCATTGTTTACAAATAGGGAAACAGCACAATATTTAATATTAACAAATAAAACAATCACAGCTTGAGGTTGTAAAATATAATCTGAGCATGCATTATCCATCACACGCCGGTTCCAGAGGCACCTCCGCTGACGAAAACAGTGGTAGCAGGCGATGTGGATAATATAACTAATAACTAATTAATGATCACAGAATACAAACATAAATAAAAAGTGTGTACACGGGAAGGATCATTCTTTAGATTTGATAATAAAAAGGAACTATGGGTCGGTAGGTAATGGAACCAACTTGACTACAGGCCTGGTGAGCACCCCCTGTTTAGTGAGAAACTTAACTACCCGGACCACTTGATCTGGACCTGGATGGACCTCAATGATCCTACCCAACGGCCACGTGAGCGGGGGAGTGTCATTTACTTTAATGATAACCATGGTCCCGACTTCGACATTGCTCTCCGATTTCGTCCACTTACCACGAGCTTGGAGGGTATTCAGATATTCGCGGGACAAACGGCGCCAAAAAAACTGAAAAGACTGCTGGAGGAGCTTCCAACGAGTCTGCAGTCCGATATGCGTGTCAGTCTTAGCAGGTTCGGGAATAGACATAAGAGGACGGCGTACAAAAAATGACCAGGTGTTAAGCATTCTAGATCATTCGGATCAGGTGAAGCGGGTACTAGCGGCCGCGAATTCATGGCTGCCTCAACCCGACACAAGACTGTCGAAAATTCTTCAAACATCCAAACTTGTGAAGACATGGCGCGTAAGAGCAGGGATTTGGCGGATTTAACGGCCGCTTCCCAGATTCCTCCAAAATGGGGAGCACCAGGAGGGTTGAAATGCCAGTCGCACGCAATATGACCTGACAACTGATCTCTACTATCCGGATTGTTGACCAAAAGACGCAGCTGCCTCGCCGCACCAACAAAATTGGTGCCACAATCAGAAAAGATTGAAGTCAGTAAACCACGACGAGCAACGAACCGGTCCAGCGTTAATCGAAACGCATCCGTAGACAGAGCGGTTACGGATTCTAAATGCACAGCCTTAGTAGTCATACAGACAAATACTGCAATATACACTTTCACAATACGCGTCTTTCGCAGACTGAGTTCTTTCATTTGTAAGGGGCCTGCATAGTCGATTCCTACCTACGAAAAGGGATGGGCTTCCCGTACCCGGAAGCTTGGCATAGCTGTTGAGGATTGGCAGCTGGCATCTTTGTACAAATCAAACATTTGCGAATCACACGATGAACTATCAGACGGATTCCAATGATCCAAAATCGCTGTTGAACGAGAGCGACAAGCAATCTAGGTCGAGCATGACATGCATAGAGGTGCCAATGGCGAACAATCAAAACAGCCAAGTGGGACTCTTTAGGAATCAACATAGGGTGCTTACGTCGCTCGGACCCATTAGAATTCTGCATACGACCACCTACGCGTACCACATTAACCGAGTCTAAGAATGGACAGAGGTGAGCAATAGACTTGGACGTAATCGTAGTCCCCTTATACAGACCGTTGACCAAATCGCTTAAGTAGCGAAGCTGAGCGTTTTTCACCATGGCATGCACAGCTGCATCTAATTCCAACTGCTTTTGGTAGCCTAGTTCGACACTACTCTTTCGACATATCCATATGAACCGAAGGACATGAGCTGTCACACGAATCAACTGGTTAAACGACGAGAATCGAAGGGACCATTCACAAGGTGGATCTTCCCGTGTCACCAAACAAACTCGCTTGATTTCTGGCAATAGTTCCAAACCTAAGCACTAAAAATTCTGTTTCCAAGTCTCGATCGGAGACTTTAAAAACCTAGAACCCAACCAATAAAGCTTGCATGTCCGAAGCTCGGACGGAAGGAGTCCACGCGAAGCGCAATCCGCTGGGTTGACTTCAGAACGAACATGTTGCCAGCTGCAACCGGATAACGTGGACTGAATTTGGAAGACTATTGGACAAAAACGTTTTATACGAGGCGTGCGGGTTGTTAAGCCATGACAGCACAACGGACAAATTAGACCACGCGAACACAGCAGACAACACCAACTGGGTTTCCAGTATACGCTTGAGCCTAGCCAACCATAATGCGAGGAGCACCGCACCACTCAATTCCAGACGTGGGATTGTCATAGCTTTCATGGGAGCCAACTTCGTCTTAGTGCCCAAAAGGTAAATAGATGTAGTTCAGGACGGATCAGACACACGGAGATACACCACTGCAGCATAACCCTTCTCAGAGGCGTCACAACCAGAAGAGCTACCGAAGTAGCGAGGAACCCTAATTTCTCGCAACCAACCCAGCGAATGGTAGAAACCACACCAATCGTTCGCAGTATCCTCGGGGATCTGACTGTCCCAGTCAACCTGTGCGACCCACAGACGTTGCATAATCGTTTTAGCATAGAAAATTGTTGGTGAAAGCAGACCTAGTGGATCAAAATTCCTAGCTATCATGAACAACACCCCTCGCTTTGTGAGAATCAACTTAAAATTACTAGTTTAAAAAGAGAAGTAGTCTCCACTTGGATTCCAGCTTCCAGCGCATACCCATAACCTGCACCGAGTTGTCTTGATAAAACGTCAGAGGGTCTGCCGAACAATCCTCTGGTTTCAGATTACTAAAAATCTCAGGAGAACTGCTGGCCCATTTCTTTAATTCCAGGCCAGAACGGCCTAGTAACCGGATCAGGTTACTTTGAAGAGCTTGCGCAGCCTCCAGTGATTCTGCACCAACCCAAATGTCATCCATATACGTCTGATTACGTAGAGCACGTTGCACATCTGGAAGATCTTCACAATCTGTGTCAGGAATATATTTGAGAAAACGCAAGGCTAAGTAGGGAGCACATTTCACCCCGTATGTGACCGTATGAGAGTATACTCCTTGATGGTTACTTGCGGTGAGTCTCTCCACAGGATAAACTGATACCCTCTGTATTGTGGCAACATGTCAATCTGACGGTACATTTTGCAGATGTCTGTTGTAAATGCCACCTTATGAACCCTAAATCCAGTCAACACATCAACAATATCCTGTTGAAGCTTTGGCCCAACCAACAAGCACTGGTTCAAAGAAAGCCCAGAGTGGCACTTGGGTGATGCGTCGAAGACTACCCTAAGCTTCACGTTGTCTTCTTCAACCTTTTGGACCGCGTGATGCGGTATGAAGTATTGACCATCACCTTCCGCACAACTCATATGACCTAGTTCCTCATAGTCGGACATGAAATTGCAGTACGCCCTGTGCAATATCTTATCTGCAGACAATTTACGCTCTAGCTGTAGGAAATGGTTTAAGGCGACTTGTCGTGATCCCGGGAACTCTACTGGCATCCGTCCTGATCTGAACGGAAGAGGGACTGAAAACCGACCTTGTCTGTCGCGAGTGACCTCGGAGCTGAAAAGCTTCTCGCACAAACCGTCTTCCGTGAACTGAGGTGGAGCAATCTCAGGTTCCTCAACACTCCAAAACTTCTCCATCATGGTTTCCATGGACGACACCAAAGACACAAGCATGGATTGAGCGCCCACATCAGGATGAGTCTGGACAGGACCGATCAACACCCAACCGAAAATGGAACTTGTAACGTCACAGCATTTTTCAACTATTTATTTATTGCCATTATATTATATAATACCCCTTGCGCGCGACAATAACCTGCTAGACTACAATATTATGTCACCTGTACACCCACCTCTTCCCCTCCGCAAGGTGAAGTCCCCGCAACAACAGCTGTGCCCGGATTTGCACTGTCGGTCGAGACAGCCGTGCCGCCAGCAGCAAAGACAGTGCAACCTGTTACCCGATAATTATTTATTGTAACAAAAGTCCCCCTTCCCTCACACTGGTCAGCAAGCCGCTGGCCAGCAAGAGCCGACAGCCGATCGCCGATGCCGTTCGGACGTTCGTCTTTTCAAAACCACGAAAGATCGCCGTCTTTTTCCAGCTACGGAGGACCGAACTTGTGTTTATCCACTACAAGGACCAAACTCAACCACTCGCCCACGTCAATCAACTTCGTATTATTGGACCTGGCATTCCAACCGACATAGGTAATGGGCTAGGACGCTGCCATGGGCCCGGTGGCCGAAGACACCGGCTTGCGTACTTCTGTATGATGACCATGTGATTACGTATTGTATTTTATTATTTATTCCCCATTATTTGTCCCTCTCATCTCCCTAACTAACAATAGTCGCAAACGCATATTATTATAAAATTATTATTGAAAAAAGGTTAATATTATTTCAATAAAAAAGCATTGTATCATCTGCGCTCCACATAAAATTATTATCATGCTTAGACGGCATGGCCTGTTCCAAGAGCGTCTTGCTTTGACACGAACATGGCAGGAGTTTGCGTCAATATTATTATTTTATTATTAGTCGGATGTGGTCAAAAGACACATCCTGATATATGATAACTTAGCGTCACTGCGAATATTGTTTTTTTTCTCGTTGATCCGACCGTCACATCATTATTGTTCCACACCTTTACACGCCATGTGTTCCATATATTATATTATACGATTGCCAAAATCATCACTGCTAAACTGTATTATCGCTAAACTCAACTTATATTATTCTGTATTAACTTGCACAGCCTTGCCATATACTGTACATACCTATAATAATAAATATGTTGGTCTTTACTGCAACCACAACAGATCTACAACATATAACATTTAAACTCAACTTATATTATTATTGTATAATTATTATTATTTGTCACGAATTATTGTTTACTATATTATTGCCGAAATGATTATTGTCGTTATAAAAAACAAAAAACTCTTTATTGTTCACATTGTGTTACGTTAAAATATATTATTCTTTATTACTCTAGTTCAAACGCCATATGCTAAATTATATTATTCAGGGTAACCTATATCATGTTATACTATAAATCATCGACATTCATTCGTCGATGCGTGTATCAAAACCTGTCAGTTCTATCGACGTAAGTCTCACGACTTACCACGCGGTACGGCTGGCAGGTCATGGTTTCAATGCCCCTTGGAACCGTGGGTGGTTTGTGGGGTGTAAAAAACCCCACATTTTCACACATGGAGGCTCCGGGGAGATTTAGGTTCCCTGAAAATTCCCTATTAATATTTAAAAATATCTCTATAAAAAATGGCAAAATTATTATAAAGATGGCGAACTATTATTTTATTAAAAATGCAAATTTATTATTTTACACGTGGATGTGAATTATTATTTTATTAAAAATGGCGAATTATTATTATTTAAATGGTAAAATTATTATGTAACACGTGAATTATTTTTTTATTATTGTTTGGTAGTGACGTAAGCAACACCAACACTGTGATAAGCAGATGCCGCCTTCCCGCTAGTGATGGGCACTATCGAATAGTTTGTACTATCGAATGATGGTCGATAGTCCATGTGAACTATCGAATAATTATTCGATAGTTTTATTCATAGCCCGAATAGTAAAAACTATCGAATAATTATTCGATAGTTTTATTCATAGTCCGAATAGTAAAAACTATCGAATATTTATTCGATAGTTTTATTCATAGTCCGAATAGTAAAAACTATCGAATATTTATTCGATAGTTTTATTCTTAGTCCGAATAGTAAAAACTATCGAATATTTATTCGATAGTTTTATTCATGTACCGAATAGTAAAAACTATCGAATACACAACCGATAGTTTGTGAAGCAAATACAGGGTGCGGCATAATGGACTCCCA